ATGATTGAATGTTTTTTGAACCATCCAATCGATTGATCCTTGCGCCAAAAAACGTGTACAAAAAAAAAAACACACACACGCATCCATTTTTTCTAAGGTATGCCAAAATGTTCAAAAATCTCTGAAACGTTAAGATATGCAAAAATGTTCATTTTCGATTTTCGGCCCTTTACTATAATTTACCCTACGGAAAGTTAAGAAAATCAACATTTTCAAGGAAGTTCAAAACATACAAAAAAATCAAATTTTTTAAAAGAGAATTTTTCTCAAATAATTAAAAATTCTATTTTTTCAATTTTCAAAAAATTTAAAGCTTTTAAAAATTTTACTAATTTTACTACTAAATTTTATTTCTTTAAACTTAAGGCACGATACCATGCACCACTAATTTATATTATCTCTTATAAACTTTTTTGTACTTTTGTCTAATGAAAAAAGTCAAAATGGGACTCGAAACGCGAGGAAATCAATAACACATATTCTTAGAAACATAATTTCCTCTTTCCACTAATTTGCATCACTAATTTATATTATTTCTTATAATTTTCTTTATGATTTTGTTCTCTGAAACAGGCAAATTACATTATTTTTAGAAACTTAATTTCGTTTTCATTCTATTATCATTATCAAGTGGCACCCCGACTTATGAGTCACCTGACCTACGAGTGTTTCGAGATGCAAACCACTTCGACATATGAGCAAAATTTAAAACACAAGGTTTTTCTCGAAAAATGTTATTGGCAAAATGAAAAAATAAAAAAAATCGTCAGCTGTAACAATGCTTTTCCTATCATAGAAATAATTTGGCTATATAATAATAGTGAATTGTTTTATTTGTTAGTTATCTCAATTATATATCATTATTAATTTTATAGTAACGATGTACTGTGTTTAAACAAAAGGAGTTGAAAAATGGTTTAAGATCCTTGCAATAATTTTTAAGCCTTCTAAGCTCTAAAAGTTTGTGAATACAAATCTTCACGAAAAAGTTGCAACAAAACGAGCATCGGAGTTGTTCAGCAAAACATGTCTAACTTTGCTCCACAATATCACCAAGGCTCAGGAACGAATTAAATTAATAAATAATAAATTTTTTATTAATATCCAAAAAAAACTTAACAAAAACCACAGTGCTAGAACGAACTAATGGCATTTCAATGTATAGGGTAAAAATTGTTTCAACATACGAGCAATTCGACAAATTAAACTCGTATCTTCGGAAAGTCAATAAAATTTACAACTCCCAGTCGACCACCTATTACCAGCAAGTTTTCCTTTCCGCAGTTCCGTACTACTGTACCCTTTCACCCAGCCAATATATTAGACAACAATGTTATTCCGTTCTAAATGTAGGAAATTCACACAAACATATCTAACCACACAAACTAACACTTTACTCTACTGAGTCGGTAGCACTTTTTCCGTTCATTCATTCTTTGGAATATTATTAGCCGCCGATTTATTAACAGACAACATGCCTACACTTCAGTGTTCGTTTGAAAGTCGATACGAAATGGTTGAATATCTAACTATTTCGAATATTAGTTTATTTATTTGCACTTGTTAGATCGAAAAGTTTTTGTTGTGATGTGATCTATGATGACCAGGATTTTGTAATCTGATTGGATTAACATTATTAAAAATATTCCTGAGTATTGCATTTTTATATTTTATTTTTATGATTAAAAATTATAGTTATTGATATCATTTTCAGTTTTTTTTTACTCATAAACATTATCAGTAGCGCAGTGTTAGTTAAAATATTGTATCATAAACCGTATTTTGCAAAAATTTAAATGATTTATTTAAATAATTAAATTTCACACTCCTACTTTATTTGAAAAACGAAAAAACTTATTTTTTTAAATTTTTTCTTCATTCTGCAATCTATAAAAATAATTACATTTAGCAGAGAATGCTGACAAATTGTTTACAATTGATTGTTTAATGTTAAATGTTTTAAATTTTTAGTTCATGATAAATGTAATGAACGTAAGTTAAAATGCATTTCATAATTAATTCATAAAAATCATCAATTTAATTTTTGTTATTTACTTTTTAAAAAATTACTTATTTAATTAAAAATAGTAAATGTTACTGGCACTAGTAAATACGATGTGGGCAATTCGTAGTAAAATCAATTGTCTCTAAAAATTAAATGAAAAAACATTAATATTTATTTATTTATTTCAATTAGCTGTAATATATCTCCCCAAACTGAATAAAATAAATTATATTCGAAATTAAAATAAATAATTTTTTCATGTATTATTTTGTCATATAATTTTTTCATGTATTTTTTTCAGAAATAATTATCACTTTAAAAGGTCCACCGTGTATAACATTACCAGTAACAATTTATTAAGTACATCAATTTTATTAGTATTATTAGTGCTATTAACTCATTATTATATCTATTTATATATGCAATCAAGTATTTTTATTGAGCAAACGCAAATAAATTTTTTTTATTGAGAAAGATGTGCTGACTATTAAGTAGCCAATAAAAATTTATTGAGTGTAACATTTCATTTTGGTTATGTATATTATGATTTTATAATACCCGTTGGAAATACTATAAAAATTCAAAAGAACATTTGTCCACCTATAACAATTCATTTTTAATTTCTATACTATCTTTAAAAATCCTATTTTCCTTCTTTTTTGATTTTACAACTGATTTCTTCATTCGTCATCATTCATTCATCTTTTTCGTTTAAATCTAAAAAATCTAAATCTTCTACAATTCTAATCAGGCTTTTGTTCTTACTTCCATTTTTTAAATTTAAATTCAAATTCAACTCAACAAATCAAATCATATTTAATTTCAAATTAATAATTTTTTAAATTCAACTTCTTACTTATATTTCTATGCAATTTCCAATCAACAATTCAAATTCTATTTAATTTTAACTCAGCATTTCAAATTCTATGTCATTGCCAGGAATCGAACCGAGGATCGCTGGCTTGCAAATCGGGCACGCTACTGACTGAGATAATTGACACAAAAATCAGATTTTTTTTAACACGTTCGCGGATGTGAATGCTATAGCATTCATTTTCATTAAGATGCAAAATGTCATGTATGCAATAGCATTTAAGTCCATTATTTTGAATTTAATTTTATATAACCTAATCACCGATTCTTTAAGTACTTTCCCGTAGTCACTAATTACCATGGGCGTAAAATAGTAGAGTAATACTTGACGTGGATGATATAGCATTCATCTAGTATATAACGATTAAAATATGATAATAGTATTTTCGTATTATCTTATCCTTTCCCGTAGTCAGTAATTACCTTGGCCTTTCGTAAAATAGAAGCGTAATACTCGATGTGGATGCTATAGCATTCATCTAGTATATAACGATTAAAATATGATAATAGTATTTTCGTATCATCTTATCTTTTTCCGTAGACACTTATTATTTTGGACAAACAAATTGCGTAAAATAGAACTTCAATACTTGACGTGGATGCTATAGCATTCATCTAGTATATGACGATTAAAATATAATTTGACTACCCTTATAAACGGTGATTAATCAAATTTCGGATATAACAAACAATTTTGCCTTTGCTGGAACTACCCGTAGCGTAATTTAAAACTTGCAAAAGTTCAGAAAAGTAAACTAGATTTTTTTGAGAATTTTTAATGTAATTATTTTTATAGATTGCAGAATAAAAATAAAATTAAAAAAAATTTGAAAGTTGTGAAAACATTTGAAAAATTTGAAAATAGAGAAAAAATGACTTCTCTGAAAATACTAACTTAAAAAAATACCACTTTGAAAACCAAAGTTTTTAAAAAATTTTAAAAACTGAATTTTTAAAAAAAATTTTATTCAATTTTTAAATTTATTTTTTGATATCTATTTTGATATTAATAGGTTCAAATTACAAAATAACCCATCTTTGCAAAAATATGATTATTTCTTTAATTTTATATAACCTTAACTGATTCTGTAGGAATTTTTGTATTATCTTTTCCCGTATCTTTGGCTAGCGCGTAAAATAGAAGCGTAAAACTTGACGTGGATGCTATAGCATTCATAACAATTAAAATATGATAATAGTATTTTCGTACTATCTTATCTTTTCCCGTAGTCACTAATTACCTTGTTCAAGCACATTGCGTAAAATACAAGCGTAATATTTGACGTGGATGCTATAGCATTAATAACGATTAAAATATGATAATAGTATTTTCGTATTATCTTATCTATTACCATAGTTACCTTGGGTAAGCACATTGCGTTAAATAGTAGAGTAATACTTGACGTGTATGCTATAGCATTCATCTATAACGATTAATATAGTAATGATAATAGTATTTTTGTACTATGTTATCTTTTGCCGTAGTCACTAATTACCTTGGTCAATAACGTTGCGTAAAATAGTAGAGTAAAACTTGACGTGGATGCTATAGCATTCATCTAGTATATAACGATTAAAATATGATAATAGTATTTTTGTACTATTTTATCTTTTCCCGTAGTCACTAATTACCTTGGGTAAGCGCATTGCGAAAATAGAAGCGTAAAACTTGACGTGTATGCTATAGCATCCATCTAGTATATAACGAATAAAATATGATAATAGTATTTTTGTATTCTCTTATCTTTTCCCGTAGTCACTAATTATCTTGGGCAATCACATTGCGTAAAATAGAAGCGTAAAACTTGACGTGGATGCTATAGCATTCATCCAGTATGTAACAATTAAAATATGATAATCCGACTAACCTTATAAACGGTGTAACTGGGTTAATTTTGGGGTGTAGGAATTTTCCAATACAATTTCTCAATGCTTGATCGCTAATTGTTCCATAACACTTTGTTTCAACAGGTTTCACACAGCATCAAGTAAACGCAAGTGCAACATTGAATGAAACCAATCGACTTGTTTCGTTCATATCTTATTATTATTATTATTAAAGACTATTTCTAAATAGTTTTCCTAATGTTTTATAATAATTAATTATCAAATCAAGTGCAAAATGAATTCAGTGAGAGCCCGTCCCCATTATGTGTTCTTATTGGTGCTGGTGCTCCATAGCTGTCACGTTGCGAAAGGTTAGTGAAGTGATATAACGTACTAGTAGTATAGTAATAAGAAGTAGTCGAAGCGCTTGGGAATTCTTTTTTCAAATTCACTTCGAATTCTCGTTACCGGTTTAAAACATTTTTATTGATTGGGAAATACATACTGGCTTCCTGTTTATAGACAAACAAATTATGTAACTAGTGGTGGGTTAAGAAGATAGGTTTGTACTTTCCTGCATGACATCGTGCCTGAACGCAAATTGCTGGAAATTCCCGGAAATTAATATTTTTGAAAAAGCTTTGAAGTTTTTTGTGAACTGAAAAAATTAGATTTGAGAACTTTGAACTTATGAAGATTTTTGAAATTTTTGAAAAAATTGTCTTTTTTGTATTTGTCGAAAAAAATAGTTTTTTTGTAATTTGGATTTTTTTTTAGAAAATTTGGAACTTTTTTTCAAAATAATCTCGCTGCGTAGCTGTTTTAGAGACAAAATAGCAAAGCGCGTAGGCGCTATGTCGCAGTCTAACAAATAAACATCGGTATGAAATAAACAAAATTTGTTATTATTAAGATATCTATAAAATCTCTGATAATTTGATGTGCTTTTGTCTAATAATCAATTTTGACCGCCAAATGTCATTTTTTAACTTCCCGTAAGGTAAGTTATTGCTGTAATCGTCGCAAAATCGGATATAACTTTGTTTATATATCTTCACGTTTCTAAGGTTTCTGAATATTTTGGCATACTTTACAAAAAATGGATATGTGTGTGTATGTGCGGATACAATTACAACCGATTTAAATTACTCAAAAAAACATTCGTTTAGTATTGATGGGGAGACGTGCTGATTAGTTTTTGGCAAAGGCAGATCCAGCCGTTTCAAAGATACGGGGCAAAAAGTGTCCAAAGATAGTAATTCCGTTTTTGAGATAACGGATCGTCCGATTTGAACAATTCAAAACACATTTTATTTGTATTGACAAAATGAAGTACTATTTGTGAAGGCAATTCTAATGATTTTGGAGATCGAGTAGAAAAAGTAATAAAAATGACATTTGGCGGTCAAAAATCATCATTAAACATATATGTACACGAAATTATCAAATATTTATAGAGATTTTAATAATACGTACAATTTTTGTTTACATTTCTTGCTGATTCAATATTTCGTCACTAAAACAGCTACGCAGTATGATCGCTTTGAAAAAAATGTCAAAATTAAAAAAAAAATTAAAAATTCAATTTTTTAGTATGATTTTTAGACCACGATCTCTATCATCATAAAAAGTATGATAAAACTCCATTACTGCAAATGTTTTGTTAGAATGAATCTAGTAAGACTTCGTTCTTCGTTTATTAAACCAATGACATTTTTGAAAAATATTAGACTTTCCATCAGAAAGGTGATAATTTTATAAGATTATATAAAGAACTAATTTTAAAACACAAAACGGTGATTTTTAGCGCTTTTCTGGCGTAACTGAGAAAGACCAGCCTTTACTAAAGACCAAAAACTATGCACATTGTCAATACGAAGCGAATGTTTTTTGATCAAGCCATCAAAATTGGGTCAGCCGTCCTTCCGTAAACTTAAAAAAGTACTAACATACGAACACACAATTTACACCCACATGTGAACAAACGTATATTTTTTCTAGCATATGTCAAAATAAATCAAAGATCCTAGAACGTAATGAAAAGTTTCGATTTTCCAGATCAAATAAAATATGGATAATTTAAAAAAAATGACATGATATACGAGCAAAAATTTAATCATGTAGTTGCTTGATAAACTTCCGGAAGTTTAAATACAATAATTTTAACGTTATAACAATGAATTATATGCATTCCCCACATTTTTTACAAGACTGATTAGTACATTTCACTTTTACTTTTTTCATTCATTTCATTAACTTTTGACCTTACATCATAAACAACAATAGAAATAAATAGGAATAACAATTGTTAAAAAATTAAAAAATCGCAATTTCTTACTTAATTGAAATATTATTTCTAAAGTGTAAAGTCTCTAAAAAAACGTATTTCCATACTAAGAAAGTCAAATACACATAAGGTAATAAGTTATCGTATTTGCAAAAAAAATCGAAAATGAAATTTGTTACATATTTTTACGCTTCAAACGTTTCTGAACATTTTGGCATACATTAGAAAGAATGGATGTATATGTATGTGTACGGATACAAATATTCAATGATTTCGGGAACACGGATTAAACGATTTGAGTAATTCAAAAAACATTGATGGGGAAACGTACTGATTAGTTTTAGGCAAAAAAATTCTCCACAAAATCTAATTATACAAAAATTTTAAAAAAAAATTAAATTTATAACCAATTTAAATCACAGACTAGTTATATCAAAATTTAAAAAAAAATAAGTTTTTAAATTAATGGAAAATGGAAAACAAATTTAAATTAAAAAATGGGAATTTCTAGCAATTTGCCTCAATGTACAATGCCATACACCACTAGTTATGATTTCAAATTTAAAAATGACTAATGGGTTTGATTATTGCATGCGAATTCAGGGAAAATTTCTCAACTCCTAATGATAATCGACTTCTAATACGCGAAATATTTTCAAAGAATCTCTTATTATTAATTTTATTGTTTTGTAACGAGAGAGAAGAAATCTTAAAGATCGCTCGTGTTGTATTACATAAGAGCAGTCGTGGGTCCATTCGGCGGAATCGTTTTGTAACTTGTGAGTGTGATATAATGAGAGAGCTCGAATATTATTGAAACATAAAAAATTTGTTAAAATTTGGTAAGTCCTTAATACTTGATTTCAATCTCCGTTGGTACAAAATTTTCAAAATTATGATTCCTTTATCATCGTAATGTATGTACCTGCATGTGTTCCCGCGTTATTTCAAGTGAAAGTTCTTTGGGAACACTATCTATTTACCTACAACTGCATATACGATGATGGTTCAACAAAATTTGCATTATATATAAATATAAACCAGAAACAATATAGTAAGATAATTAATAACAAAATTAAAGAAACGCGGAAGTGAGTCCCCATGCTAAAATAGCGACAAGTTTCCAAACATCTAAACCCAAAAATTAGAACATGGTAATAGTCAAAATATGCTGTAACGATATAAAAAGTTGTTTATGAAGTATAAATCTAAACCAATATATTATATCTAAGTGTCGTTGTCGACAAGAAAAAATGCAAAATTATGTTTTAATTTCAAAAATTTGATCAACAGGTGACGTTTTCCAAAGAATTAAGAATTTGAGAAGACTTGGCTTTGAAGGTATTTATAAAATTTATAGATCACTCTTAATGAAATTTTACAGGCATTTTGGCAAGTATGGTAAGATAAGTCTACAAGAATGGCCCAGCAGATGTAAATGTAAAATTACAGGAATAAATATAAGATGTAGGATCCAATTTTTGGATAAAATAATTTTTTTTATTAAAATTTTATGTTTTGGGTGTATATTCTTATGAATCGGTACTAAAAAACTGTCAAAAAGCTACGATTTGCTGCGCTATCAGGCGTTTTACACATAGAACCTAACTTAATGCATGTGTTATCGATGTGACGTCAGAAAGATGCACTTATAATAAAATTGTTATTTGATGTTTGTACGTTTTGTAGGTTAGGTTCTACGTGCAAAAAACTTGATCGCACAGCAAATACATAACTTTTTGACATGATACGAATATAGACCCGTAACATAGCATTGGCATAACATTTCTATTTTATTGGAAAGTTGGCTCCGCAATTATATTATTTGAATAAGATAGGATATTCTGAAGCTCAAATGCAAATTGTTTTTACCCTCAAAAGCCTCCCAAGCATTTGTTATACATCATATTTTAAAATTTTCCTATCATTATTGATAAGAATGTATTTAAAAATTAAAAATTACACTCCTAAAGAACTAAAAATCATATAATAATCATATCATTTTAAGTCAGAATAAAAAATCTTGAAACAAAAGTAAACAAAATTCATGTCGACTAAAGGCGACACTCGTACACACAGGCTTCTAAACAAATGTCGACTATGGACGACGATTGTGGCAAAAAATAGAATTCAATTATTTAACTCTTTTACTACGCGTGTCGCTTATAGTCGACACCTGCTTGGCGACCTATGTGTACTAATGTCGCCTTTAGACGGCATAATATGTGCTTTGATATTTATCACTCTTAATATGTGGTAGTTTTAATAATTTAATTCAGAGTGAAAAATCCTGAAACAAAGCTCAACACACTGCATGTCGACTAAAGACGACGATTGTAGCAAAAATGGAATAAAATACATTATTGAACTTTTTCACTACGCTAGTGAAAGACCTCTTGACCGTAAAAGTGTCGTCTATAGACGACAAAGTGTGCTTCAATATTTATCACTCTTATTATTACGTAGCAAATTAGAATTGTTAATAATTTAACTCAGAGTAAAAAATAGACTACATTCGCTTAACGACCTGTGTGTACGAGTGTCGCCCGTACACGGCATAAAGTCTGCTTTAATATTTATCACTCTTTCCATACGTAGTAACAAATTAGAATTGTTAATAATTTAATTAAGAGTAATGTTGAATATATGGGTGACACTCGTACACACAGGTTTGTTATAAAGAATATTCAGATAAATATTATTGCAATTGATAAATTGAATTTAACGCCTAGAACTTAATTTTTATTGAGATAGTTCATACTTTATTTCACATTCAAAAAAATTATAAATTCTTGTAAATTCATTGACTGAAATCATATATTTGACGACCTGTGTGTACAAGTATGACTAAAACTTTATTTTATTGAGATACTACTTCAAGTAACATTAAAAAAAAATACGAATTTCTGAAAATATTTGATTTAACTCACTCACCACGAGCGTCGCCTATAGTCGACACCTGCTTGACGACCTGTTTGTACGAGTTTCGCATATAGACGACATGAAGTGTGCTTCAATATTTATCACTCTGAGTTAAATTATTGAGCAAACCAATTTTTTGTTTGAGAAGGGTAATTTTTAAATACATATGATTCGAAAATCTTGAAATATTTTGTGTAACAAATACTTGAACGGCTTGAAAAGTTGATAATGTCTAATTACATCAATATTATTACCAAATTCATATTCCTCTTAGGAAATCAAATTGGGCCCATCAAAGAAGCTTTATTCCTCGGAACAGATATTGGAAACGCAACCCAGAAAGATTGCATCTACAGGAGAGGATCCGACAGAGATTCTTGTCCAGATCCTGATGTCAAATTAATCATGTACACCAAACACGAGGACGTTATTAAAAAATCCACAGTGGACATTTTCCGTTCCGATTGGTTGAGGACAAGTTCTTGGAATTCCTCCAAATCTAACGTGGTTCTCATCCACGGATACGCTGGGGGAGATGATACTTTACCAATAGTAGTACTTCGGGATGGTAAAAAAAATTATAAAAAACACCTATAATTACTTTAATCAATATTTTCATTATTTTCAGCGTATATTATGACTGATCGTTACAACGTGTTCATGGTAGATTGGGGAGCCCTTTGCAAGCCCCCATGTTATGTAGCCGCAGTACACAATGTACGACCAGTTGCCAAATGTTTGGCAGAAGCCCTGTCTTCATTAAGGGATGCTGGTTTGCCAGTTGACACTGACCTGGATTGTGTGGGACATTCTTTAGGAGCTCACATTTGTGGGGTCATGTCTAACTTTTTGCTGTTTAGGTTGCACAGAATCATAGGTAATAATAGATGTAAAAATTTATTTCCACCCATGTGAAAAAATCGTTTCTTTTTTTTAAAAAAAAACTATGGGGCCAATTCTCCGAGGTGGTATATTTTATTGAAACCACATATAAGGTACTCTAGAGATTGAATAAGAAAAGAACTGTTGAATCTAACTTAGAAATAGTAATACATCTTACAAAAAATAAATAACGAATAGATAAAAATGATATTCAGGTATAGTAAACTAAATAACAAAGCTCAAAACCAAAACAACTAACAACGACAAAAATACCTTCGTTAAAAAATTAACAATGTGGCCTTTTATCTCGTGATAGCGCCGTCGCCCGATTTTTGGCGATGACACATCTTTTGCCCTCTACTTTAAAATAGTAACTTTAGTTTTTTTGTTGTTCTTGAGATAACCAAATCAAAAAATTAAAACTTTCCTCGTCTATTTATTGCCGACTAATGGTTCAAACATGTCTAGGTTTGGACCCTGCAAGACCCCTAATAAAATCAGGAAACGCCCATCGTCTCGATGCTGGTGATGCCAGATCGGTGCAGGTTGTGCATACAAATGCAGGAAAATATGGAGAAACTGGACGAGTTGGTCATGTAGACTTTTGTGTTAATGGAGGAAGAACACAACCTTATTGCTCAAATGCCACAAGTAAGGAGAAAATAACAATTTATACATCCAAAACCATATAACAACCAGAGTAACATCTATGTAGATAATATTTGAGATTTTTAGTAAATGACGCCTAGTTTCATGCAGCAATGACTTCAGTCATTTGCTGCAATATCAAATTATTTGCGTACAACGAGGCGTAATAATGGACATATACGAGTACTTGATTGCAATGAATTTGTATATTTTTTCCAGATGAAGATTTATGCAGTCATATATGGTCCTTGTGCTACATGGCACAAAGTTTGTACCACGAAGGGCCTGATTATCAAGCTGAACCTTGTTCAAGAAGATGTCCTGCAGGCTTAAGGCCTTCAGACCCAATTATGGGACCACCGATTTCTATGGGAGAAAAAACTCCTTTGGAGTAAGTAAAAGGAAATTCTATCCTTGATTAAATTGGGAAAATCGATACCAAATTAAATTGATATTCTCGATTTTTGAAAAATAGTTAAATTGGGAATTTGTAAATGAGAGTAGTTATTACTGAACAGGCTTGAGGCCTTTAGACCCAATTGTGGGATCACCAATTTCTATGGGAGAAAAAACTCCGTTGGAGTAAGTAAGGGAAATTGTATTTTTAATTAAATTAGAAAAATCCATTTTTATCTAAATTGATATTTTTGAATTTTTAAGAAAAGCTTAAATCAGAATTCGATTATGAGAGAGCAGTTCGTACTGATGAAGAGACTATATACAAAAGTTTCATGTAAATCGGTTCAGGAGGGCCATGGTGATCAAACAGCTATATTTGTGAAAATAATTTAAATATTGCAAAATCGTCTTGTACACAATTTCTTGAATAGTTAAACTTCGAAAATATCCAAAAACTATTTTTTTATTTTTACCCCTATAAGTTCTGATTCCTATCGATGAGAAAAAAAGATTGTTATGTCTATCAATTATCATTTTTCTCCTTTTCCAGTGCTTATGGTTCATATTGTCTAAAAGACCAACTGCAACCATTTTGCCCCACGGAAACAGGGGCGCACGGAGACCTCCGATGTTGCATAAAACCGAAAAAACAAAATTCGAAACAGAGACCCCAAAGACGAAGACTTATGAGGAGCGGAGTAGGGATATTTGACCTTTTAAATTAATTTAATGTTACTTAATTTAAATTTAATTGTATTGTTACTTATAAAAATATTTAGATAGGATGTATTAAAATGATATAATAAAGTATTTAAATAGTAATTGGTGGTATCATTTCATATGAAATTCAGAAACCAAGTGCAACATTCTGACAAAAACGCACCTACTGTAAACTTCAAAAATAGATAAAATATAAAACTTCTACTTCTGTTATATAATAATCAATTATAATTTCAATTATCTTCCATTTGGCGCAGACTTTTTCAAATGAATAAAATTCCTTAAATGTTATATGTAAATAACGAAATTTGTGTTACGACAGATAAGCCCATGTTCAAATTGATTTAAAAAAAATATTTACATATCGTAAGTGTGAATTTACCATTGATATTTGTGTCTATAAAAAATCCCGCATAGCATGTGAATTTCAAAGGCATTTCATTGCATTGAAATGAATTACTCTGTAATTTTGAATATTTGCATTGCATTGCACTAAAAAAATCAACTGAATGGTTCCAAAAATACAAATGATAGTACAAAAATTAGGAATTTTATAATTAAAATTATTCAACTAAATGGAAAGTTTTTAGATTTTTTACAATTACAATAAATATGATTCACTATTACATTTATATGCGTAAGCCTTGATGAATTTATGTCATCTTCTCTACGTGATGCAATTACAAATCTTTCAATGATAATTGATATTTACATAAAAAAGAAAATTATAATTTACTAAGTGATGTAGATACAGTAATATGTAGATATTACTTTTTAATTACATTTTTTATATTTTCAAATTTAGTCACGAAATTATTTGAATGTGCTTCGTTTATTATTTTCAAGATTTTCATTAACATCCTAAAAACTTAAAATTATTGAATTATAAGAATTCATTAAATTTTGTAATAACTAAAAAGTCCAAGAAAATATAATGAAAATTTTTGCATATCTTAAGGTTTTTGAACATTTTGACATACCTTAGAAAAATTGAGGTATAATTGTGTGTATGTATGGATACAATTTTTTGCCCACGATTACCAGCGATCAACCGATTTAAATTATTCAAAAACATTCGATTTTTAATATAAGTTTTGGAACCTGTAGCAGAATTATACGATTAATAAAGCAACCTTGATTAAAAACGTGTCTAATATTAACGTGTAAATTTAATTATAGCAAATGGATCATTTATTTAAATACTATAATAATGTTACACTTTGACAACAAATAGACTATTATTATATGAATAAATACATAGAGATTTAAGAACAAAATAATTGAAAATAATCCAAAAACAACCAAAGCGATAAGCAAACTTTAACAGCTTATATAAAAAAAATTTGGTTAATAATGTTGGTTAACTTTCCGTAGAAGTTTGTTTTCATTAAAAAATCCGATTCGCTAATTTTATGTTTTCTCGACGTTTCAAGCCATTCTGAATCGAATGAGACCAAATTTGGAAAAAGTATGTGTGTGTGTGAACAGATTTTTTGCCGTAAATCAACGATTTCTCAAAAACGGCTAGACCGATTTAAAAAAAATTAAAGGCATTCGATGTTTATTTATAAATAGCAGTTGTTTTATATATAGCAGAAAATTTATGATTTTTTTGACGGTAGATACCATAGCCTTATAGATCATACTAAAATATTACGACCCTACAATATGCCGTTTAATTTTAAAAATTCTTCAAAGTTTGCAAAAATTAGTATCGTATTTTTGGCATTTGTCAAAATTAGACCTTTCATCTCAATATGGTTAAACACATTTGATTTATAAATTATGTCAAACTAATTCAAAAAATAATCTTCGATTTAGACTAAATACTTCACTAAATTCTTTAAAAATATATGTGTACATTAAAAAAATATATCATCAGTATAATTCGGATAAATACATTTAATTTTTTCCTTATCTCATTTAAAATAAAACAAAATTATTTAAAACAAGTTGTTAATAGCTTTGTGCCTTGAGGCAAGTTTCTTGAACCAGATATGTGTAAATAATTGAGATAATTAATGAGATTTATAATTGTGACGATAATATTTTGAAATTTAGACATGACACATTATTTCAAACTAAATTAAAATGGAATTTAAAATTCGAAATTAAATGAATTTTTATAATTCAACCGCGTATCGTAGGCCTATAATATTTTAGATTGTTATTTCAGACTGCAAAATCTATCATTATACAAATTTTAATCAAAATCGTCAAGAAAAAAAAATCAAACAAAGAAACGTCTCGGCAGAACTTTACCAAAAACTATTCAGCAACAGAATCCGAACCAATATCTTTCGAAATTCAGTTAAGATTGTGAGCTAAGATGTGCACGAAAATTTTTACACTTTTTTGCTAATTCGAAAGAAACGGCTAGGTCGATCGCAAAATTAATAAGCTAGTCCTTAACGAGTTAAATCGAATTGCTTTTAATTTTTTTAAATCGATCCACCTATTGAGAAAATATCGACGAAAGATTAAAAATTGGCTCCACATACATTTTTTCTGCGAATTTGGTCTCATCCGATTCAGAACGACTTGAAACTTCGAGATAACATAAAATCAGCAAATCAGATTTTTTTTCTTTCGGGAAGTGTTGAAATTCCCAGTGCCAATTTAAAAGTCCTTTTAGAAACGACCATGATTAGCAGATACATTTTTCGAGTCCTTGCCGATAAAGTACGAGGACATCAAAACCTTAACCATTGTTGTCTAAAATAACAAACATCGATTTATATATATATATATATATATATATATATATATATATATATATATATATAATTTACATATATTCCGAGCAGTGTTTTCGCGCTTCATCAGTTATACAATAGCTTTGCAACGGAGTCGCGATTTTTTTTAAATTTTAAAGTGATAATAAGAAGACCAAAGTTTGTTGATATAACTATATATATTGTAAATTCTAAGAAAGTGTTACTTTCGTTCGTCTGTGCCAACAATAATTTGACAATACTAATCTCTTCGGTTACAGCATACGAGTAATATTTCATAATAATGATAAAATATTCAATTATTTTGTAATAATAGAGCTAAACATAATAAAACGGGATGTAAATATTTGATGGAGATAAAATACTAAAATATTAGAATAACCATGAAGTAATCGAGATTTTATAAAAAATTGTCTCTAAATTTTTTTAGTACAAAAAATTATTAACTGATATCAAATTTGAAGTGTGCGGTATGTAAGTGAAGGTGGCAGTTAACACAAATTGAATGAGTGGTTTACCCACTGCAATGCCTCATATTTATATTCCTGGAACATATTATTAGTCATTGCAAGGGCAAGCCTTATCTGAAACTATTTAAAGAATTGATTCATTTAAAAATTCAATGTTTTAATATACTAATACTGCGATTTTCAAACTTAATATTTTTTTTAATTACGAAGCAAAATCCAAATATTTATGAATTACGTTGTGGCATGCTTAGGGAATCAAGTAAAATTTGCTATAGATTTGTATGGTACCAAGTTTTCTCTCATTTATTATATTCTGATTTGAATATTTTTGCTTTTTCTGCAAGCCATTCGTGAACTATTTCTAAGGTATGCCAAAATATTCAGAAACCTCTGAAACGTGAAAATATATAAAAAAAATCATTTTAGATTTTTATGCGATATCTATAACTTTAACTTATCCTATGGGAATTTATGTAGAAACATAAGAAAATTTTCTTCATATAAGGACTGAACTTTAAGTCTTCATTTATATGTATATATATATATATATATATATATATATATATATATATTGTCGATTTGTTATATTGACAATCGGAGTGCCTACTTTGAATATTTTGGGCGAGAGAAATTTTCACTTATTTAAACGGCAGACATAAGGCAAACAGTCAAAATTAACAAACGGATTTTTTTGGACACATTTACAAATTGTTAAATAATTCGTTGAATAACAAACATTAACAAATTATTAATTAAGTATTAATCTATCAAACTATTTTTTATTTTTAAGTAGTGCAAATTGATATACTGTTAAATATGAATGATAATATATGTGTGTAATATGGTGTACATAAAAAATCGTTCGAGTGAAATGTGATAATATAATTTGATTAAAAAATAGTGCCAAAATATTAATGGATATCTGGTATTAAGTTAAAATTAAAGCAATATTAAAACAATCGTGTTGAGTGTTCGTGCGAATGTAAATTATAATTTTGATGTAAACGTTTTGTGAAAAAGAAGTTTTCTTAAATTTTAGTACACGTGAAAAAATTGATAAGTTCAAAATTGGTAGAAGCAGTATTTTTGAATTAAACTATAATATCAACACTAGAATAATAAATTAGTAACACTTTTTTTTAAAATAAAGTTGTTAGTCGCATTTGACTGCTCTTTTTAAAAATTAAAAAAAAAAATTAGTTTAGTTCTATTTGAATATTTAAATAGAGTAGGTCGAAAATTGATCTGCGATTTTACCGCTCTTCTAGAATTAAAAAAAAGTTTAAAAGTTTTTTTCTAGTTGAATACTTATATAGCATAGGATCTAAAACTATTCAACTATTTTGATTGTTCCTTTCTAAAAAATTGAAAAAAAGAAAACACTAAGAATACTTATATAGCATAGTTCAAAATTTGTAAAAGGCTTTAACTAAAATTTTTTTTTTTTGTTGAATACTTATAAATCTCTTCAACAATTGTTTAGCGACTTCAATTGTTTTTCCTCTGCTATTTAAAAAAAAATAGTTTTTCCTGGTAAGACTTATAAATATTAATTAAAAAAATTGTGGAATTGTTGCTTTTTGTGTCCTTCCTCTAAAATTTACAAAAAAAAATTAGCTCTTTCTTCTGGTTGAACACTTATAGAGTATAATTAAAAATTGTTCAACTGTTAATTTTGACCGTTCTCCCTCTAGAATTTGAAAAAAATGTTTTTTATCTGATTGTATATTTAAAAAATGTTCAATTGTTGACTTTTAGTGTTCTACCTCAAAAATTAAAAAAAAAACTGTTTTTTTTTGGTTGAACACTTATAGAGCATAATTAAAAATAAACTGCTGACTTGACTGTTCTTTCTCTAAAATTTAAAAAACCTGCGTTTTCCAGTTATAGAGCACAATATAAGTACAACTGCTTGAAATTGTAAAGGACTAAAAAAAATTAAATAAGACAAAAAAAGTGTCTCAAGAGCAACGAATATCACCTTACCTAAATCTTAAAATTATTTAAGTATAAAATATTAAAAAACTGCAACCAGCAAACATTTTAGTGAACAACTTTTTTACAAAATGTGGTTAAAAAGTGATTCAAATACAAAAAACATACTTGTGCAAAAAGTAGTGTTGGTGTTATTAATTTTAACAACAATTTCTGTTAATTGTGTAATGTTTTCAATTGGACCTTGTGTTTTTAATGCCTTTGAATCTTGCGAGGCAAATGATATTCATTATTTTCTGTATAGCAGTGATCAACCGAAACTTCCTTATAGATTGGATAATGCAAATATAGAGGTAAGGAAAATAAAAGTTATAAAAAAATATTTTATGAATATAAATCTACCATGATATAATTTAGAGCAAATTGCTGTATATATTTGCTCTGTGAATAAAAATCAGGTTAATAAAACTATTACCCAACTTAAAATTGCGGAACTAGGGACGTCTATACTTCAGAAGAAGTATTATAGCAAATAGGGCTAATTTAGAGTAATAGAATAAATTTCTATATCAAATTAACAATCTCTGGTCTTATTTCTTTCTACCTACTAGTAAAGAAAGTGTTAAAAGACGTCGCATAGAATATCAATAAACTTCCATCTATCTAATTTGTATTTGGAGTCTTCATTTAGAAGTCTACGCCTCTATTTCGTACATTGTTAGTTAAAAATGGACAGAATTAGCGCGTTGTGGAGCATTGTCAAATATTTTAGTAGGTACGTGCTGGCATTTGTCAATAATGTGTCAATTAGATGTTTGAAATAAAATTATATACCGTATAGTTGAAACTGTTAGAGCTCAACTCAAATTTTTGAGTGTGGAGTTCCTTAAAAACGAAACCAATTTTTTTTGTCCAATATCCAATAATAATTTAATCTACTTGGGGGGCGTCCATTATTCACGTGAGGCTTTGAGGGGAATGCAGGGATTTGACAAAAAAAATAATAAAATATCATGTGGAGATGAGAGGGGTATAGTAAGATATCAGGTGTATTTATTTTTTACCTGAGTTTTCAAAAAAATTCAAAAATTTTACGATTTTTGCATGAATAAAACTGCACGTGATGTTTGTAGAGGGTAGGGGGTGGAATTTAAATATTACCAAGGGGGAGGAGAGTCTCAAAATCCCAAATGGACGACCCCTTAATTGAACACTTCTGCATTTCTCCAAGTATGCATAAACAAGTGTTATCAGAAAAAATTAAATATCAAATTACATCGATGCCAAATATTTGTGGAGAAAATTTGCTCCAAGTTAGATTAAGTATGCCATAATTTTATAAAAAAAAAAGTGTACAAAAAATATCGACATAAAATCATCGTAGAATTACAAAGTATTGAGTTTTAATTATTTATGGAAATTGTCACCAATTTGTTATGGAATGCATTTTAGGGAAGGTATATAACTTCGGGTAATGTGAGGTGACAAGAAAATTTTTTATACATTGAACTGTTATTGAGCATGAGACTACTGAAATCCAAACCTTATTTATTATTTTATGCAAAATTTGATGGAAAACTGTTTCACATAATTGATACCAGCTTTATTTATGCAAAGCATGTGTAAAGAATCCAACAATATTTTCGTAAAAACCTGACAATATTTTGAGGTAAAATTATCGCAGTGAAAATTATATAAAAATCTAGCAAAAATCTTATGAGAATCTTGTATGTACTTTTAGGGGGCGTCCATTAATCACGTGACCGATTTTTTAATGATTTTAGAATCCCCCTCCCCATTGGTGATATTCAAAATTACCCCCTCTACCACGCTCTCCAAAAATCACTTGTATTTCTAGTTACAAGAAAAAAATGTAAATTTTTCTACCTCTGGGGGTGTCCATTATTCACGTGACCGATTTTTTAAGATCTTTTGGATCTCAAAGCAACATTGCCACTTACACCTAAGTTTGTGGTGTATTTTTTACACTGATGCTGAGTTAAATCACAACTTATATTATTTAATCAAATACTAAAATTTTGTTATCAGATACCAAATCGGTTCAATCTATCATGGCCAATGAAAGTCATCCTGCACGGTTATGCTGGCAGTTTAGACTACAATGCAACTGCAGACATCAGAAGAGGTAACACATTTCCAATCACAAATAAATTTAAAATCATTTATAAAATTTCAATTTTTATCCCAGCGTACATGAGAATACCCAACGTCAACGTCCTTGCCGTCGATTGGGGCGAATTGGCCACTTTGCCGTGTTATCCAGCAGCTGCTTTCAACACTGTGCAAGTTGGCCATTGTACTGCCAATATGCTTCTGGCCCTGTCTATCTTGGACGAACGTTTTAAACCAGAAGATGCTCATTTGATAGGGTTTAGTTTGGGCGCTCATGCTGCAGCATATGCTGCTAATTATCTTAAGAAATTGACGGGGGCTTTGCAGAAACGAATCACAGGTAATAATGGTCACAGGCGATAATAGTCATATGTGATAATGGTCACAGGTAATAATAGTCATAGGTAATAATAGTCACAGGTAATTAACAAATATTGATGAACTTAACACTTTGGGGACGGCTGTCCACCTCAGTGGACAAACATACTCTGTGAGACACTGACTATTTGATAAACAATGACTCAGTTTGCATCAAAACGTTGAATAAATTACATATAGCAGTGATAAACAGTACTGTATTTTGAAAATAATTTTAAGTTATATTAGTAGAATATTTAGCTTTTTTCTTTGCTATATAGTCTTTTTTTAAATATTAAAAATGACCGAGCGCTTTTAAATATGCCAAAACGACTGGTAAATTTTGTGAATTAAGCAGTAGTGAAGATGAGTTTCAAATAGACATTCTTACAGACAAATTACTATTCGCACCGAAGATAGTGATGAATGTGATGATGATATTATTCAACCAACAAAAAGAAGAAGAAGTTCGACAAATTAAATGAAGATTGGTAAGACATTAGCGAATGTGCCGATTCTCTTTCAATAATCGAGTTTGACATACATCAACAAACACCGCGACTACAAATACCAAGCAATATAAGATATCCAATAGATTATTTTACTTTATATTTTACAAATGAATTATTAGACAATATGATAGAAAAAACAAACTATTATGGCAACAAAATGAACAAATATACTGACTAATCAGTATATTCTAAATGCAAGAGAAAAAAAGGGGATTGTATTGTCTGTTCTGACAGAAAAGTACCAGGAGGAAGGCGACGAACAACATTATAAAACATGTCAAAATCAAATTGAAATGGAAATTGTTTAGAACGTCATAATTCTTTATAAAATGATCAAAAATAAATTAATATTATAAATGTATGTCCTTCAATGACCACAAATTTTTATCAAACAAATTGCATAGCATACACAATGAAATCAAGTTTACAGCCGGTACAGTAGATTGTTTTGAAATCGGTGCCGTCCCGTATGGGTTAAAATACTCATGAACTTAATTGTGCAATAGTTAAAGCTCGCGGTCTTGTTTGGACGGGGTCATGAGTTCGAGCCCTGATCTGGACAACCTGACATCGCAGCATTGGTGGCAGACATTATATTGGTTGATTGCAACTGCACTGGCCAAAAATATCATCACAATGACATAAATCGTCTATACCCACTGATTTCTTGAAGTTACTATTTATTCGACTAAAATTATCCTAGCAATATTATAAACATCTGATATCAAGCTTTTGCCATAAATCAATGGTTCCCAAAATTTCTATTTCCCATGTTGAACCAATGTTATTCTTCTTCACAGGTTTAGATCCTGCACTGCCATTTTTTTCAACTCCTCAATTGTCCTGGAAATTGGACTCCACAGATGCCCATTACGTAGACATCATCCATACTGATGCTGGTTATTTAGGAAAAGCCGAAGCCTTGGGTCATGCTGATTTTTACGTCAATGGTGGATCCAAACAGCCAATTTGTAAAGGAGAAGAATGTAAAAATAAATTCCATCAATATTATTTATAACATTCAAAATAGTTAATAATGTAGATTTTGTTGGTTTTGTCTAGAAACCAAATTAGGCCATACTAAAGAAGAAAGTAGGTATATATGTATGAGCATGAATTTTCTCATGTAGAATTTTCTGGTTCTTAAGACCCCAAAGACTAAATAGATTTCATGAACTTCTAATAATTTTAACAGTATTTTGGAATCTACTAATTTTACCTGCATTTAATGGAACTCTGAGAAGTTTTATAACATAATCCTTACTTCAGTGACAATGACCTTATCTTCCGCAAAAAATGCAAATTTCATGATTCATTTAAACTTTTCAGATGAGCATTTGTGCAGTCACAATGCAGCGCCCGCATATTTTGCAGAAAGCATAATTTCCAAGGTAGGGTTCTATGGTTCCAAATGTTCATCTTACATCGAACATATTTTGCGATGGTGCCCGGCCGATAATAAGGACACCAGAGAGATTATGGGAGAACCTTCAAAACCAGGGTAAAAAAAATAATAAATATACAGAAAACTAATTATTCATAAAAGATAGCTTAGGTAGAAGATGTCTTTAGACAAAATTAGATGATAAACAGTATCTTAAATTTTTATTGTGTTTTAACTTATGCTGTTATTTAATTAAGTTAAATATTATCGCCAACACCATATCTATAATAATTTGGAATTGGTTTTTAAAGCCCCGAGAGATATGATTTCAGTAAAAAAATCAGATTTATTTTATTCATAAAATTTTTTTTTTGTTTTTTAGGTAACAGTTAAGTTTAACTTTTATCTTTATTTAAATTGAATGTTACATTTTATTTCCAGAACCGTTGGTGTCTTCTACGTGCAGACAAATGAAAAACAACCTTTTGCCAAAGGTTAAATACCAGAAATAAACCAAAAATACTATATATAAGATTTAAGATTTATTGTTTTTTTTTACATATTATGCATATTTAAATTATACGACGATTTTATATATTAAATACAATTTTATTATATAAAAAAACGAATTTTTATTTGGCAAATCTAAAGAGGCCTAAAAGTAGTTCGATCAAGGTATCCACATATGTATCTATATGTAATAAAGTATTTAAAAAAAAAACTAGGTGATGAAGTTTAACACGTTCGTGGACGTAAATGCTATAGCATTAATATTTTCATTATGATGCAGAATGACATGAATGCAATAGCATCCAAATTTCAAAGTCAATTACATTTTAAATTTAATTGTCAATTCATGTTACGACTTGGCTTGAGAATCACAAAATTTCTTACTCACAAAATCTTCATTTTTTGCATAAAGTGTTCAAAAACAATGCCTACTTACATGTTTACGAAATCCCAATTAAGGAATTGATTTTACAAATTATAAATTCCGAGCACGTCTGTTTACGGTACTGAGGTTTGGCCGATTCTCACCCGTTGTCACATACGTGTGTGAAATACACTTAAGAAATCGATTTTTACAACAAAAAAAATTGAAATTTTAAAAAATATAATTCAGGACTACTTAACAAGGACAGTAACAATTTTAGCAAAGTATAAAAATTGGCAGTCACTTTATTTTTAAATTTGTTGTGATGTAAAAAAACTGTTTGAAAACCGTTTATGGGGGCAGTCAGTTTATAATATATTAATCGTTATATACCAGATGAACGCTATAGCATCCATGTCAAGTATAGTGCTTCTATTTTACGCAATTTGCTTGTCCAAGGTAATTAGTGACTACGGACAAAGATAAGACTAGTGAGAAAAAAACATCGTGCCTTAAGACAAATTGCTGGAGTTTCCCGTACCAAAAATTAAAATTATTAAAAAGCCTTAAAAATTTTTTAAAACTTAGAGAAAAACGAGATTTTTGAGAATCTTTGAAAAAAAATTGAACTTTTTCAAAAACTTTTTTTACATTTTGAATTTTTTTTATAATTTGAATTTTTCTGAAAATTTTAATTTTTTTTTTCAAAGTTATCGCGCTGCGTGGATGTTTTTTGAATTATTTAAATCAGTTGATCCGTGTTCCCGAAATCGTCGACAAAAATTTGTATCCGCACACACACATACATCTATTTTTTCTAAAGAATGCCAAAATGTTCAGAAACCTCTGAAACATAAAGCTATATAAGTAATGATATAAAACAATAATATATCCTTGGACCTGAGTTAAACTCCAACACGATTCAGGGAAAAATAGTGTAAGAGATTTTCCATTGCCAATTGGAAACATATTTTTGATCTATTACTCAATAATTATTAAAAATTAATGCGATTTGAATTGAAATTTACTTCTTATGTGGAATGTCAAATCAGTTTGATCAAAAATCCTAAACTAATGGTGCATAGTGCTATGCCTCAAGGCAAATTGCTGGAACTTCGCTTATAAAAATAAAAATTCTCAAATAAATCATTATAAATAGTATAAATTTTATGATTCATATTTGAAAGATCTAATAGAATATAAGTGCTTATATTATGGCTACAATCTGTTTACAAAAAGAAAAAAAAAAATATCTATTCGAAATGCATACTCTGAATGCTTCCTAGAACCTTATCTCATATTTCTTATTCTTATTATACTCAGAGTGCGCAAAGTAAAAATATTTATTATAACTATAGAACAAAAAATTTTGAAATTTTTTGAAAATTCTGAAAAATTAAAAAAAAATTTAATATTTGAATTTGTTTGGATATTTTGATATTTTTCGATATTTTGCAATCGCCAAACCTGCTTTGCAAAAAACTAATCGGCACGTCTCCCAATCAATAGGAATCGAATGTTTTTTGAATCGTTCAAATCGTGGACAAAAAGTTGTATCCGCAACCACATACACACATCAAATTTTCTACGGTATGCCAAAATGTTCAGAAACCTTTCAAACGTAAAGAAATGCAAAAATTTTCATTTCTCATTTTGGAATATTAAGAAACCTGATATTGTTATCCTACTTCAGCCACTGTTTCTTCTACTTTTACCGTTTTATTCCGATTCAGCACATGTTGTTGTCCACTTAACTTACCATCGGGCCAGTAAGCCATCGCGATCGCAAATGTGGTGTTGAATTATAAACGTGATCGGCAATCAATCAAACTACTAAAATCAAAAGAAGAAATGAAGTACGACACGCACTTTGGAGGTGTCCGACATCGACCATTATCAACGGCGACGACAGTTATTTGTTAATGTGTCAATTTAATTTCATTTTAATGTGCACTTAATGATACGTATAATATTATTATATTGTTGTCATTATGTTCTGTGATAATCGTGTGTGCACTTTAAAAAAATGTGCAGTTGGTGAAGTGAATTTGTTAAGGAATTCTGTGCTCGTTCTGGCAGTTTTAGGTAAGTACCACAATAATTCAATCAAATCCACCCCATAATTTTTGAAGTAAAACTTCTTTAGACGCGACTAGGGTGTAAATCCGTACAAATGCAACGGAAGTGCGTTACGGCGGATAAGATAAGAGTCGAGTGCCAAAGATTCGTCATTCGCTCTCAATGATATGATTTCTATACGGGTCGATTGTGATTAGTTGTCGCGTATGTGAATAGAGATCTGTCGTTGTATGCGTACCGTATCAACAAGGAAATCGGCATAGATAAATAAACATTTTAAAGTTACATCGTGGTACAAATCTTGATTTAATAAAAAAATGCCTGAATCGGTATTTTATCCTATTCCCCGTAAATATTTATAATGAAAATAATAAAACAAATGCAACATTTGCGCCGTGTACTAATCGTATGTTTATTGATTAGAAATAATTTCTATATTATTTGTAGTTTCTATAAATCTTTGAAGTTATTGAAATGGAAAATATTTTTTAGGCAAAACAGATATTACAGCTGTTCAAAGAATGAGATTATACCGCCAGCGAAAGAGTAAAAAAAATATCTTCAATCAATGAATGTATGTTAATTTTAGTTACATGAAGTTCTTTAAACACAATTATTATAATATATGATGAGTGAAGTTGCGAAAACAATATTTGTTTAGGCATTGTTTAACATAATCCACTATGTGAACGAATATTATAGAAGTTATTAATCAGCAATAACTTCATTTCTCTAATGAAGGTTCATTTCTAAATGCTAATTACAATGACAAACCGATCATATCATATTTGAAGTATGACTTTAATTACATTATTGTTTTTAAATATTATACATATTTTTAATGCTATTATAATAAATATATAACTAATAATTTATCATTATATAAATGTGTATAATGGTTGACACTAATGTGTGCATCACGAGTTTAACCATATTACTAATAAACATAATTCGAAATTGTTATACGATGTATTATATATTATTTTTACTTAAATGCCATCTTGTACAGTAGCAAATAACGCGGACTCTTTTTTTGTTTCTAGTATTTTTTGCCCAAGCAACACCTATCAAAAGCAACAAATTCCTTATACTAAGAAACGCAACTGAACCACCAAACAGACGAGATGTGACAATTGGATCATGCGTCCTGGTTTTGGCCAGGACTTGCCCGGATCCTGATGTGAGATTTTATTTGTTCACCAGACGAAACCCGACTGTGAGACAATACGTTATATTCGGACGAACTGTTGAAGAATCGAATATCACGAAATCGAATTTCGATCCTAAATTGCCTACAAAAGTCATCATACATGGTTACAATTCGGATATGTATCTTGGACCACTTATAGACATGAGAGCAGGTAATAAAAAAATACAACAACAATGGTAATTATTATTACTATGTTTTTTCCTCTAGAATATCTCCAACGTGATAGATACAACATATTTGCCTTAGATTGGTCACCTTTGGCACCATCACCATGTTATCCGACAGCGGTGCACAACACTAGGCACGCGGGCGAATGTTTGGCACAAATGTTAACAACCCTTCGTAAAATTGGAGCAAAAAACGTGCACGTCATAGGATTTAGTCTTGGGGCTCATGTGCCTAATTTTGCTGCAGTCGCTATGAGACCACATGTGATAGAACGAGTAACTGGTAGGAAACTGATTTACTTATTTTCTGACCAACAATCAGGATTTCTATGAACTGTTATTATGATTGATAGTTTTATAAGGTAACCCATTGGTTGGTTTGGGTTCTGTATGTGACACATATAAACAATATATCACTACTGCTTGATATCGGGTTGTCCATAACTCGTAATTAAAAATCTCACAAACTAAATTCGAGCCACAAAGTTTTAGAAAAAAAATAATTTTTGTTTTTCAGGATTGGATCCAGCAATGCCCCTGTTTGCAACAGCAGAACCTGATGACAGATTGGACGAAAGTGATGCACTATTTGTCGATGTTATACATACAAATGCTTTAGTGCAGGGACAAATAATATCTTCTGGACATGTAGACTTTTATATGAATGGAGGTGTTACACAGCCAGGATGTTGGCAAGGACCAGAAAGTAAGAAATTTAAACCAATATCATCATATTTTTGATATTTACATCCAAATCTTGTTTTATTTGAGAATGTTTGCAGAGGTAGCACTCCACAAAGAAACGAGAATTTCAATAAGCAATTGACAAAAATAATATTTTAGTTTAAACAAATTATTAATACTAAGCTAACCAAAACTATATACACTCTTAACACAATCAACAAAAAAAAAAAAACAATTTAATTATAAAAATCAACTTTAGCATAGAACCAAACCCAAAGTTCAACAATTGGTAACCCCGAACGTTTTTGATAACCGTTTATAACAAAATTTTATATATCTTCATAGAAATTTTTTTTGATCAAGTAAACTTCAAATATTTACACAACTCCCTATTTCCTACTTTAATTTACACAACCATCTAAATAGTCAAGTACTAAAACCTTTATATTTTTTCAATTAAAATATCTACACTTCAGATATCTATTTTTATATTTTAGTAACAATTCCACCCTTCATCATTTTTAAAATATTATCCACAACATTTTTTATTTAGATCCTTTTGCCTGTAGTCACCATCGAGCACCTGATTATTTCTGTGAATCCATCAACAGTCGCAAAGGATTTTGGGGTTGGTCTTGTCCAAGTTTTTTGTATTATTTACTCGGATTGTGTCCTCCAAGAAGTAATCAGGTATAAAATTTTACATAATAAACTTGTCAAACGTAATTGCAATAAGAAACTGGTTTACAGATTCAAGCTGGAGAAGATTGTGCACCCAATTCCAAAGGATTTCACTTAGTCGAAACAAGATCTGATATGCCTTTTGCTTTGGGCAAAATAACTGAGTTATCAGAATCGAATGGACAAGATACACGAGATGTATTTAACCAACTACAAAGACTTACTTGTAAGTACTTGAAAATGCCTATTGTAATACCACTCATTATTTTTATTAAGAAAAAAAACAATTTTACGAAATAAATACTTGGTGTTTATCAAATTAAACTTGCTACTTATTTTTTTAGTATATCCAACAAAACCTCAACAATCAACAATGAACCGAGACGATTGGGGAAAACTGGAAGGAGGCTTCAACAATATACAAGGGGCAATTTATGTGCCAAGAAATTTGAAAACAACACAAGATGAAGATTGGGATTTGTCACATATTCCTGTATTTCAAACGAATAATTTAGCCAAGAGATCTCATAACAAAAACTCAAATTCCAAAATAACAATAGAAAATGAAATAAATGATGAAAATCTCAGAATGTTGATGGATGATTTTTGTGGTTTAAAATGTGATAGTAATAAAAGGTTTGATGATGAATGAATTATTTCTTTAACATAGTTTTTTTTTATTAAGGTATAGTTGACCAAAAAAAAATATAGAAAATGATAAACTATAGTATTATCGTTGCAAGTATTCCAAGTTTTTGACAAAATAAAACATACTGACTATCTTGCGTAATAAACCAGAATTTTTGGTTGAAGAAGTATTTATAAAAAAAAACTCAATACTTGACCAAAAGTTTTTAAATCACTTCAAATAACTCAGATTTACATTTTTAACTGCGAAGAAATTCGGTTTTATAATAAAATAAGACTTTGTCTAAAAATCTATTCATTTTCACAGGATTTACTATTTCTGCTCCTAATGATATATCCAACCCAGTATAACTGAAACCATAGTCTTTAAACAATAATAAATAAAATTCTTTTATAACATTTAAGTACATTTACTCTTCAAATAAAATATTAACAAATATAGAAGCTTAGACACATAATATCATTTTGGGCCCCAACTTACTGTCTAAGTTTATCCATTACACATATATTTTGGCAACATTGGCCTTCGGCCAGCATATATCCATCATAACCATTTTTTATACTTTTGGTTGCACAGCATTATCCATAAACGAAGCCAATTTAACATCTCGACCACTCAATCCATTAACATCATGAGACGACAAAGTCACTTGGACTTTATTGTAAACATTGAACCATTCTGGATGGTGATCCATTTTTTCGGCTTGCATGGCTACACGGGACATGAACCCAAAAGCCTGGTAAAGGAGAATCAGCATTATATGCCTCCAAGAATAAATAAGAATAATCTCACCTCGTTAAAGTTTTTGAACATGAATTCCTTGTATATAGCATCTCGAGCATTGACCATACTCCAGCCGGAGTTTAGGAGAGGCTGGAGGAGGGTTGATCTTTCTTGTTCTGATAGAGCCTATGTAAAAAGGATATGTATGTTGATGGGGTAAATAGTAACAGGTGTGAAATCACCTAATGCTCGTAGCACTTGATATGGTATTCATTTGTTCGATGTTTGCAGTATAAATAGAAAACTGCTCATACTATAAAGTTCTAGTCATACGATATGTAAACTTTCATAATATAATAGTAAGAGTACCTTTTGTCACTTACTTTCTTGGTAATGAGATATAAGTTTTACAAAAAAGTAGCAAAATTTTGAAATAAATAAAGTATTTTACACTTAAACAACATATTTGCATTCTGGCATAATCAATTTTACTATAACTATAATCAATGGAGTATTTAATTAGGTATTAACTCCAAACAGAGAATATGTCAAATTATCCTTTGCAAAATTTGAAGGTTAAAATGTCATACAAAATGTTTTACAACAAATTGCACAGAACAAACATCTGTATCATAAGAATATTAATTTATAAGTATGTAGTTTATAACTATTTTTACAATTGTATTTCTCTTACCATTTTTAATTTACTTTTAGTGTCGGTTTTAATGTGCCTCCAACTTGTTGAAGTGTTCACCACGAATGATTTTCCAGAGCATTTGTAAATGTTGTAAAGGCTATCAATGGCACTGTAACGGGTCACGATCATAATCACAAAACTAGTTTGCAACTTTCAATTGAAATTCTTGCATGAAAAAAACCTTGCACAAGTGACAGTTAAATAATACAAGATATTTAATGCACCTGAGTTATATGTCGCACTTTTAACTTTGTGGTTAGGTTTAACGTACCGCGGCGTAATTTGTTGAAATTGTTAAAAAATGGTATAGGAGTTTTGTTGGTATATCCACGGCACCATATGATTTAATTAATTTGAGTTTTTTTTAATAAATCTGTGTATATGCACTAACACTAAACAAAATCTCTTAATTCAAAAACCACTGGACTTTTATTTTTGATTAACAAAGCCCTAACAAAGCCTTCAATTAATTGTTGATAACTGGTCTGAAGATAGGTTGAAATACACCTATCTTCACACCTTTCAAAATAAGAACGTCCATTTTGGCGCTCAATTTGAATATAAAATTGAATTTTCTAAAGTTTTTCCAAGTTATTTTGAATCGTTTGATAATCAAAAGAAGTAAAATTTGAAATGCATGAGTAATTTTTGACTTCTTGTCGATGTTTTCTCAAAAACGGATGAACCGATTTCAAAAATTTAAAAGCCGTTCGATGTAACTTAAAAAGTATTCGTGTTAGGATTAGTTTTGCGCAACGATCAGCCAAGCCGTTTCTTTATAATTAGCAGAAAAGTGCATAATTTTTTGACCACGTTCTAGCCTAAAATCCTGAACCGATTTTAAAAACTTGAAAACTATCTGAAAGATTTTAGTTGAAAATTTTGGTGAGAAGGGGTTTTGGTGTCGATGGGCCGGATTTTCTTCCAAGAATCAAGAACTTTTTACCCAGGAAACTTTCTTGAATACATACCAATTATTATAAAATATAAAAATTGAAATATATAAGCACTGCCTTTGCAATATTTTGTTCTTGCGACAACTGCTGAATCAAAAAGTATATATATAAGTCCAAATTCTACCAGAATTAATTGCCCAATTATTATTTTTTATACAGACCCCGCCATCTAGTTTTTTGTAATTTTGATCTAAGAATATTTAATTTTATTTAATATAAGGATTGTACTTTAAAAAATCTGAGAAAATATTCAATAGTTTTCTTCTATAGCATTTTCAAAAAAAAAGGTTGTTGGGCAAATCTGTCACTACAGGACACAAGGTGCAAAATTTGCAAAGTTGTCCTTAAGAATTAATAAACTTTTTTTTTAAATATCTAAATAATATCAGACTATTACTTGTGATGCCGATACTAACACAAATTTTAATATAAATTACAGAAAAAAAGCAGAATTACCTCTGAACTAGTTTATAGATAAAATTCTCATTGCTAAATATCCTGGATTATGCAATTGATTAAATTTAATTTCGTAAATAAATTCGATTATAGATTTAATTCAATGCAATATAATAATATGTTATAATCCTTGTATTATTTTAATTCACTATTCGCCTAGTGTAATAACAGTAAATAAGCTGCAAAATTCATATCATATGCAAATATTATGTATAACCAAATCGCTAAAGCTTTTGCATATAATATGCATTTTTTAGCACATTAAAATGTATTATGGCTCGAATAGTTAAATATTTCGTTATTTTTTACCAAACTTGTTCGTGGCTTAGTGGTAAAAGCTTTGGTCTAGTAATAATCTTATCAGAAACAAGAATAGACAACCATTGGGTAGCTTTCTAATATTTCTGGGATATAAAGAATTACATCAATAAAACTTATAGAACACGAACAATAATTATCAACTGTTCAAAAAAAAATGGAGTATTTTTTCATATTCTACGATTTAGAAGATTCAGCATCTTATATTCATTAATTATAAAAGTTCATCAAGAAATTATATATAATTGTATCTGAATCATACGAGCAGGAATAATTGCAGCTTAGCAAGAACTTTTTTCCAACTTTAGTATATTTTTTTATACATTTATAACACAATTTTCTGATTCGCCAAATCGGAACAAAAGCAATTAAACCTACATCATGTGTTATCTAACAATTTATAATTCGATAATTGTCGATAAAATTAGGCCAAAATTAGCAATTTAATCTGATCCCTAGAAATACTTTCACTTATCATTAATTAATACGTATTGCTATATATACAATTTATATAAAAAATAGATGTCTGCAATTGTTTATTCATGTAACTATTATTGTCAGATCTGATCATTGCTCACCGATGAATGAATTCTGATAAGAATAAATATGATATTAATCATATAAACATATTGAGAAATCGGAAGCCATGAAGTAAATTTATTTCAAAATGAAAGTGTCGAAATTTTGAAATCCGTCACGGTAAGTTCTTTTTACTTTGTGATATGATTTTTGGGTTTGATTAGAATCGGTATTGGTGTTTTTCCTAGCTTTTAATGTATTCATTTAAATATTGTTATTGTTTTTAAAATTTAGAAGTTGTTTTTATAAATTTCTAGATGAGTATCAGAGGTGTTGCTAAATATACTCAAAAAAAACTAAATTTATTAGCATTTTAAAAACTCGCCTGAATCAGAAGAATATTTTACACTCTCCGCCGTAAATAATTATAATGAAAATAATAAAACAAATGAAACATTTATGCCGTGTACGAAACGTAAGTTTATTGAAATAATTTCTAAATTATTCGTAGTTTCTATAAATTTTTGAAGTTATTAAAATGGAAAATGTTTTTTAGGCAAGACAGTTTTGCTTCAATCGCCTGTGAACCTTACGCACACTGTTTTTTGTTGATAGATTTTCTAGTTTTGAGCACTGTTCTTTAGTTTATAATACCTGAATATAATTTTTCACGATACGTAATTTAATTGTTTTATATTTGCTTGAACAGTCATCATGAAATTTAGTTATCCATCCACCTTTGAAAATACCCATTTTAAATCTTACATAATATCCACTAACAAATTCACACTCGTGCTCGACAAGGAAATATAATTTTCTGACAATTTCGCAACAACTAAAACTTTTCCTGTTCTTTCTCTGATGAATTCTTAATGTAATTTTCGCAAAAGTGAACGAAAATGAAAAAGCAGTCAGGACTTTTATTATGGAATTACTTTTTAATCAACATACACAACAACAAGTGGCAAAGTTTCAAGGTTGAAAGGAAATAATATATTTGGTCATATCCGTCATCATAAGATAAGGAAGAAATATTTTTAGTCAGTTCAAAATTTAGGAAAAGAGAGAAAAATTCTGCTTAATAAGAATTAGAACATTGTCTTGAATGGACTTAACCACTGAACTGATTTTAAACTTAATTTGCTCGATGAATCTTAATTTATAGTCGAAATATTTTATTACTGGTCGTCAATGTTAGTCACTATTTAAAAAAAATCAAACTATAGCAAAATTTGTCAAGGTCAAAAATTGAACATAAACACAATATCTGATCATTGAAACCTGCAACTTTGCGATTTAAGCAACATTTAACAAATGACTTTACTACTTATTTTGTATTGAGAATAATACATGTAGAAAAATTAATGTTGTATTTTTATGAAAATTAAAAACCTAACCACACTCAATAATATTCCACTGATACTGATAATATGTATTTTAAAAATGAATAGAAGTGACACGATTTAATTTAAATCTTCATCCGTCTCATATCTTCAAAAAATAAATAACGCAACAAAAATGATTTCGAAGAAGGTCATTTGACTTTTTAATCTGTAAAATACTGGAAAAATCTTAGTTGTTTGACACCAGCCTGGTAACAACAAAAATTAGAGTTAATTGTGTATGCAATTATGCCCTTTCCACAAAACTATTAGAGATTTTTTTTTGCTTTTATTTGGAATTAATGGAAAATCTTTATTGAGTTCTGCAATTATTTTGGATCAAAAATCTTGACACAAATTCCTTCTTTAAGAAAATAGAAAAAAAATTATATGTCTTTTATCATTTTTGGTGAAAATATTCAAAAATCTACAAAAATTATGAATATCGAAATAAAATTACAGGTTCTTTCCCGAAATTTCAAACACTTGAGAAAATCCCAAATGTAAATATTATAAAAGTATCCAACTGTGTCCACTTGAGAATAACAATAAGTCTAGAATAGTTCGCGGTAATATCTTAAGTTATTATTATTACCTCACCCCTCCAACAGGTATTTTATAATAGGGAAGGGAGATCGGGGTAATTTGACTGAAGATACAAATTAAAACCAACTGGACTTAAATTTGGGTCATGATCTAGAAAAAACTTGTATAATAATAATAAAAATATGTAATTGAATCAAATAGCATTAAATTCGGTACTCGGATCGAATCCTGGCCGAGTACCGTAAATATTTTTGTGAAAAAATTTGTCAAAAAAAAATTATGCTTAAAAAGATAATATAATACAGAGAAGAAAAAATATGAGAGGCTAGTTTGCAAAGGCAATAATAACAAAAAAAATTTTTTCTCATTTTCTTCCACGTCATTTCTTTACAGATTTTAATTATGACATAAACTAAGTCTCAAATATAACAAAAAAAATTCTAATATATCTATATTATCAATTACCAAAATATATGAAAGTCGATCCTAATATTAAATTTTTGTTCCACTGCTCCACTATGACTTCGTAAGGATTTATACCTGTTACCCTTGCCTCTATATAATAAATACATATCACCTGTCCCTTTTCGCAACAACCCTTCTGTGACAACAATTCAAATTCAAATAGTAATTTCAATTCGTTTTTGAATAGAGGTAAAAAATAGAGGATGGAAGGGCAGTGCGCGCGCCTTTGGATAAATAGATAACGGGCGGTTAGGCTGGGGACACATGGTAAAAGATACTGGGGGTAAAAGATAAAAGTTAATATTTGATAGTTTGGTAAATTATAGAGGGTAATTATTATTTTAGTTTGTAAATTTTATATTTAGATGCATGTTGAAATTTGATTTATATATGCAATTGGATGTCTAAAAATTCAGAGGCAGACACTTCAGAAGCATTATTGAGTTGACGACATTGTTTTATTAGAGTTGAGTTTTATTAGAGTTATTACTAAACTTAATTATTTAAATTGAATTTAATATTATTAAATAAATTTTCTAATTAACATATGTAAACATTATTATGATGGTAGATTGTTCATGTATATAGACAAAAAAAATAATAGTGAATCAAAAACTGAAAATTTGGCCAATTAATATACACAGCAGCACGAGCTTTGGCCTTTCATCCCTGAAACCACATTGAGCAGCCTGATATCAAGCAGCAGTAATAACCGTTTTCACTTATTGTTAAAAACATAGATCTATATTA